GAAAAAGATGGCCTGTTAAAACTTGTCTCACTGTCCTCAAGCCCAAGACCTAAGGCCTTAACCCCTTACAAAGACCTGGCCCAGCCCACCTGGCCCAAATCCGGCACCCCGCATCTCAGCCGTTCCTTCCAGACACCCTGACATTCATTCTGTCCTAAATATGCCAAGATGATGCCCTTCGGGGCTCTGAACATGCCACAGGTAGTTCCTGCTAAGAATTCAGGCCTCATTCAAGTGTTACCTCCTAAAGTGTCTTCACTCTCGAGCCCAATCACCATTTACTCATAACACTTTTCACTACCTAAAAATCATCCTCTGAAATGAAATTGTCTTTACCTGACTCCCCAGGAGAAACGTCACCTCCCAAAGGATAGAGACCTTCTCTTTCCTGGTCACCCCTGAATCCCCAGCGTCTGCAGGAGCTCCTGGCACCGAGTGGACATGGGATAAACTGTGGGGGGGAGGGGCGTGTTAAATGGAGCAAACCTCTAGTTACAGAGTACCTACTACATGTTTGGTACTGTGCCTCTCCCTTCACATCATTTAATTACTGCAACCAATAGTTATTACCCCCTCCATTTTACACAGAAGGAAGTCATGGATCCAAGAGGTTAAGTAACTTGCCTGAGGCCCAGCTCCCAAGATTTAAGACTTTTCAAGCCACACCAAAGAAAGGAAATATGCAGCCCTCTAACACCAGGCCATATCCAGAGAATAGGCAGTTGTTGAATGTCCTAATAGCCTAATGGTATATATGGACTTCGGGGGCTGGCTTTAAATCATCCTTTTGATATACCATCAGAGACCCTCACTGGGCGCTAGTCACACACATCATTCTCTCTCTCTCTCTCTCTCTCTCACACTCACACACACAGTTTTTCCAAGCCACCCATGTTTAATTGAGCACATCCTCCTGAAGCGTTCTATTTAATTGAGCAGATCCTATCAAAGTGTTTTGACTTAATTGGAATGATTAACTGTTGAAATCCTCGAGCCACAACCCCCAAGTGAATTATTAATTATCCTTTCCTGTGTAGCAACAGGAGTGGCCCTTCCTGTATCAGGCTTGCCCAGGGGACCTAACCTGCGAGAAATTCGGATCACCACACACATTCCCAGCACTCATGGACATACAGAGATCATTTAGAAAGTGCTCATAAAAACAGGAGGGAAAAAGTGAGCCCTTCTTTCACAAAAGTAGCCAAATTCTGTATGATAAGATACACATTAACCCCCACTGCAGTTAAAAGTAAATTATCACCAATCCCGAAGATCATCTGATCATTTAGAAGCCATGCTGTACCACTGCTCTGCTTTGAAATGGCGGAACTAACCTGGGAAAGAAGCCGGATGCTGTGACAAAAGTGACAAATACAGATGTCCACTGCCTTCCAAAAGTGGACCTGCAGGGGCCAAGGCCAAAGCAATTACAGGAAGAATATGAAAATCATAGTAATGCACCTGATGGATACAGAAGACGATGCTGACCTTGACCATAAGGCACTTTGATTCACCCAAAACTCATATAAGGTGCGCTCCTACACCCACCTGGGAAATGGCAGTTTGGAGAAAGATTATGGAAAAACAAATCTCTCTCTCTTAATATAAATAATATTGTCCTCCTTCTTTAAGTGGGATCTGAAGTATAGTCTAACGACTATGCACTCCCAGAGAGTGAAGGCCCTATCAAAGGTTGGCGGCAGATTCCACCCTGGACCAAGCAAAGTGCCAGAGAGACTGCAACTGTTTGATGAGCACAGGGGGATCCTCTTGATGCGAACCCCCTGCCTGACGATCTGAAAAATCATGTATTCTACAACACGAGAGCTCATGTGAGTGCAGAAATATTCCTGATATGTGCTTTAGATGGCAATGTACATTTTAATCAACTTCTTTAAATCAAATTTTCTGTGTAGAATCAGAAACGCTGAGAACCAAAATAACCATTCCACTTTGATATGAAAGAACAGAAATTAACAGCTGAATTCAATGGAGACAAAAGCCAACCCATGTCAAAAAAGTAGTGAATAATTAGGTGTCTTTAAAAGGTGGCGTTTGAGCTCAGAATCCCTCCTCAGAATGTACTAGTAAAGTTTGCATCTGAGCCTAAAAGATCAGTATTTCATCAATTCCATGGCACCGATGGCCATGCAACCTCCCTAGCAGGTACCCTTTTCCCCTGGGCAGTGGGGCAGGGGAGAGGCAGCAAAGCCACCCGAACTGGATCTATCTAGCAGCTTCCAGAAACTTCTAAGGGATGCCAGAAATACCTGGACTCCCTGGAACATCTAAATAAGGACCTGTACCAGAATGTCCTCAGGCCCTGGAAGACAACAGCTAGCTCGTGGTGTTCAGTTCTGGGCAGAGCAAAAATGCCCTGGAGGGTGTCTTTATAGGTCAGACAAGAGACCTCACTCCTCAGCATCTAATTCAGATGGGTGCCTGTGGCTTTCTGTCCCATGCAAATGACTGCCTAGATTCCCAAGTCCCCTCACTGAGTATCTGTCCTCCTTCAAGTCTTGCTGCTTACACCGAGAATTGTCTCTGGGCAAAGACGGTTCAGTGACACTGACATATATGCAAATAGAAGGGCTTCCAGAAACGAAAGGATATTTCCCACCATCTTGCCTCCTCACCCATGGGACCTTCTGACAGCATGATCAGCTTTAAGGCCAGTAGACATGGTCTGTAAACTCCCAGACTTACCCCGAAGAGACATACAAGGATGGCTCATCGTGTCTCAGGCCAATTCTGAGTGATAAGTCAGGCAGGTAAGGTCCCACCTGTTGGGACTGAAATAATTCAGGGGGACAGAAGCAGACTTGGGTGCACCTTCCAGGAACATGTCTCTCTGGGTCATGAGTGCTTGACCGAAGGACAGGGTGAGACAACACACACTGCCAAGATCCCAGTCCAACCCAGCCAGGCAAGGCCAGGATGCTGACCCAAGCCTCTGGGCTGAAGGCGAAGTTGGCCTCCAGGTGCTCTCAACTTGTCTCACCAGGATGTGGCCACAAAGGCCTTATCGGGGCCCACCCAGTACTGTGCAAACGCACTGCTGCTAGAAGTGGCAGAATCCTAAAGGGCCAAGAGAGGGTGTTTCACCAGGAAAGTCTGTTTCTCTTGGGATGTTTGTGTCTGTGCGCGTCTTTTTCTGTGTGCGTGGGTGGGAGGCATCTGTCTCCATCCTCCCCGGTTTTCCTCTCTCACTTTGCCTGGGCACCTGTCCCTCTCTCTCTTTAGGTTTCCGTTTTCTTACCCTTCTATAAAAAGCCAGAAGGTAGACCAGAAGGGGATTTTGTAGTGTTTGTTGTACTTAACTGAGAAAAGGTTTATGTTCCCCCTTTCCCAAGAAGATGCATGGCATCTTACTAAAAATCAAAATAAATTCTAAGTGTAGATTCGTTTAGGTTACATTGCCCTGGATATGAGAGAGTCTACACAGGTATGAGGGATGCTCATTTGGGGAGCCCAGGCAGGTTGGGACCGAGGCCGGAGCAGTGCACTAGAATCCTGGCTTCGGGTTTGCTAAGAACCCAAGGGGCAGAGTAGCAGGTGTGGGTGGGGCCAAGGAATCTGCATTTGCAACCAGCACTTTGGGGATTGGAATGTAGAACTGTGCCTTGTTAGTATTGAGCCTATCTAGAATCTGGAGTCTTCCTCACCACCAGCACTCAGCAGACAGGATTCAGGCCTGTGAGCTTCCGGGATGGGATCCCACTATCTGCGCCAATTGTCAGACTCCTGGGAAGAGAATTCACACTTTCTAGTGATTTTCCAAGGGGTCTCTCACCCAAAGACGGCTGCAAATCACTGTTCAAGAGGATTCTAAACATAGATCCAGGGACATTTTGGGGGGAGTGGACTGGACTGTGCCTGACACTGTGCAAGCTGCTTCTACTTAAAGGCTCAATGGGGGAGGGAGGATGGGGAAGGGGGTGAGTAGGCATTAGTACCCAGAGGGGGTGCTGTTCTGGCAATCTCCTCTGAAATGCTTTGGTAAAGGAAAAATGTCGGGTCTGAGGTTTAAGAGAAAATATTTCACTGACCAAGGAGACTGAAGGGGGCTGGCAGCCAGGCTAGGCCAACGTTGGCTGGAGGGCGTCAGTTGGAACAGGGTGGGACCTCTGGGAAGAGGGCCAGGATTTGGGGGGGGGGTTGTTTGAAAGGGACCATGGGCTTTGGGCGGCAGGCAAGTGTGTGTTTGTGGGGGTAGGATGGAAAAAGACATGTAATTAATCACCCAAATATAGACTAGGAGGCAGCAAAGGAGTTTAAGGGGGAGGCACAGGAGCAGGAGCTGGTGGCCCCCAGAAGGACGACAGAAAAAGCCCTGTTCAGACCTAGAGCCTTGAGCTCATCTTCCCCCAGCAAGCGCTGCCCCCTCGCGCTCCCTCATAGCTCTTGGGCTATCCCCCCATCCCTCCCCACCAACCTGAGGCTCAACCTCCACCCAAAAGGAAAGGAGGAACTCCATCAGCAGGAACCCTTCCCAGCTCATCCACCCAGCGCCCCGGACTGCGGCTCAGCCCCTCCCCCAAACTGGGGGAAAGCCCTTTAACCTTCCCAACGCCCCCTCCCCCCCCTCAGCCTCCGTTGCACTTGGGGCAGGGGGTCCCCTCCTTCCCATAACGACCAGTTCCCAGTGTCCCTCCAAAAGCAGCGTAGGCCTCGGCACATCCGCGATTCCCGCCCCTGACTGCCGCCCCCCGCCCGCCGCGAGAAGGCCTTCGGGCCTCCTCGTACCCTCCATCTGGGACTCGTCCTTCACTCTGGATGGCCTCAGGGCCGAGCAGTTTCCTGCGGGCCCTGCGGGCCCAGAAACGCCCCCCAAAAACGCTTGGCCTCCACCCACCGCACACTCTGCGGAACACTCACCCTAGCCCCGCGCACTCTCTCAGGCTGCCCCCCTGCGCATCCTCCCGTGGCCCAAACGGTCAGCCCAATCCCGCACACCCTCCCGCGCCCTGGGCACATCCTCCCGTGGCCCTCATGCTCACCCCGGCCCCGTGGCGGCCGACGCGCAGCCCTCGGTGGAGCGGCGCTGGCGCGGCCCAAGCAGGCCCGGCGTGGCAGGAAACGCCACGGAGCCGCCAGCGCCCGGCTGAGCCCAGCAGCCCCGCGGCGCGTTTCCGGAGCCGCGGGCGCCGCCGGGGGTAGTGGGGGAGCAAAGCCCCGCCCTGGCCCCGGCCCCGCCCGGCCAGCCAGCCCCAATTGGCCTGGAGAGGGGGCGGGGCAGGAAGGGGGCGGTGCTGAGGCCCGGGGGGGAGGGTCAGGCGCGACCACGGGTGATCTGCGCGTGCGGGCCCGTTGCCTAGCGGAGGGGGGAGGACTGGAATGAATGTACAAGTGAATGAATGAACAAACGAACGAACGAATGAATGAATGAGCGAACGAACCAACGAGCTCATGAAGGAAGGAATGAAGGAATGGAAAGAACCCCGCCCCCTCGGGCGCCTTCTGGACGGGGGTGGGGGGGGGATGGGAACAGAAAGCAAAGCAGAGCAAAGCCAGATCTCACGGGAGGGGTCGAAGCGCCTCACTGAGTCACCAATGCTACTGTGAGCCCTTTTGCTGTAAGAATAGAGCTGTGAGCAAAACCAGGCCGCCTCGCTGCCCTCAGGGGGCGCGCATTTGGCGCCCAAGAGCTCCTGTGAGTGTGAGTGTGTGTGTGTGTGTGTGCGCGCGCGCTTGGGCACGAGTGTGGGAATGGGAGTAGAGGGGAAAAGTATTTGAGTTAATTTCAAAATAGGTCATACTATGAAGAAAAACCAACGGGATTCCTCGCGGGGGAGGGGAGGACCTTGCAGCCATTTCCAGAAGACTTTGGTGCCAGTCATCAGAAATCTAGGAAGCTGCCTTTGCTCAGCAGTGTGCTAAGCCCGTTGATGCTTTCTTGAAGACTCCTGTTTCCTAAGGAAGACGGTAATAAGCAAGGGTCAGCATACAACACATAAGAGTGATAAGAACTGTGAAGAGCATCAATTAAGGTGATGTCTGGGAGTGATGGTGGGGGAATTCGGTGAGGCTATCGTTGATGTGAGACTTGAATGACAAGGACTCAACCATGTGAAGCTTGTTGAAGACAGGAAGGGCATCTGAAGGCAAAAGGGACAGCAAGTGTAAATGTCTTCTGCCAGGAATAAACTGGGTATATTCTAAGACCAAAAGGGAAATGCTGGACTGTAGTAAGCCAAGCGAAAAAAGAGCCACACTGGTGGGGTGAAGCTGGGCACTGAAACAACATGTCTGAAAGACATGGTTTAACATGTTTTTCATTCTGTATTAATAAACATTTAATGCTTTATTAGTGATAATGATAACCAACTTCTTCAATATTCTTGTAACAATTTTATCCATTAGACGTTAACAACTTTTTTTCCTATTTTCCTTCAGATTTTATTAGGAAAACTTTGCAATATACGGATCAATTCGAAGATCTGTACCTAGGTACCAAACACTAATACTCTACAATTAGCATTATGCTATACTTGCTTGATTGGAAGGTCATCCTTATTTTACTGATCCGTTTCAAAATGAGCTACAGACATCAGTAGGCTTCACCCCCAAACACTTCAGCATGCATAACATTAGCTAGAGATCAATACCTGTTTACTGTTTTTTTTTTTTTAAAGATTTTATTTGACAGAGAGAGACACAGCAAGAGAGGGAACACAAGCAGGGGGAGTGGGAGAGGGAGAAGCAGGCTTCCCGCCGAGCAGGGAGCCCCATGCGGGGCTTGATCCCAGGACCCTGGGATCATGACCTGAGCAGGAGGCAGCTGCTTAACCAACTGAGTCACCCAGGCGTCCCCCTATTTACTGTTTTTTTTTTTTTTGCAGGTAAAATTTAATACAGTGAAACACACAAATCTTAAGTGCCCCACGTAGTGAGTTTTGACAGACGCCTACTCCAATCTCCTGTCAAGATACAGAACACTCAACACCTCAGAACTTTCCCTTGTGCGCATTTCCAGTAAGTCACCACCACAATCCCACACAGAGGTAACCATGGTTCTAATTTTTCTCCACCATAGATACCTTCTGCCTATTTGAGAACTTATATGAATGGAATCATACAGTATATACTATAATGTGTCTGGATTCTTTCACTCCGTATGATGTTGGGATTTATCTATGTTGTTGAATGTGTTATTGCTTCTTTCCTTTTATTACTGAGTAGTATTCCATTGTCTGGATATATCCGAGTTGGTTTATTCATTCACCAGTTTATGATCTGGGCGGTTTCCATTTTGGACTATTATAAATAAGGCTGCTATGAACATTTGTGTACAAGTTTTTGTAGACATATGCTTTCATTTTACTCAGATAAGTACCTAGAAAGGGAATTGCCACGTCATAGGATAGTTGTTTTATAAGAAACTGCCAGAATATTCTGTAAAGTGGTTGTACAATTTATGTTCCCCCCAGAAATGTATGAAAGTTCCTTTTCTTTCCAATCTTCCTCAACATTTGTGGTTGTCAGCCTTTATTTTTAGCTATTTAAGTGGGTGTGAAGTGGCAACTCATTGTGATTTTAATTATCATCTCCCTGATGACTAATCATGTTGAGTATGATGTTTTTATGTGCTTACTGGCCATTTCTATATTCTTCTTTCGTAAAGCGTCTGTTCAAATAGATTGCCCACTTGTATAGGGTTGTTTGTCTTTTTTATTATCTACTTGTAGGTGTATTTAAAGAAACCAGATCTTTTGAGGTACATTTGACATATAACTGGATATGTTTAAACTGTACTATCTGATAAGGTTTGACATATCTATATCTCCGTGAAACCATCACCACAATCGAAGCAATAAACATATCCATTACTCTCAAACTTTCCTTGTGTCCCTCATAGCCCCTGTCTTCTTGCTCCCTGGCTTCTCTCATCTTCAAGCAACCACTAATCTGCCCACTGTCACCAGAGGGTAGTTTGTATTTTCTAGAGTTTTATATAAATGGAATCGTAAAATCAGTATTCTTTTGGATATACCATAATGGGTTTATTCATTCATTGGTTGATGGACATTTGGGTTGTTTCCAGTTTAGGGCGACTACAAAGGAAGCTCCTGTAAACATTTGTGTATGATCCTTTATATGTACATATATTTCCTTGAGTAAATACCAAGAGTGGTATGACTGCATAATATAGTAGAGGTACATTTAACTTTTTAAAAAATTACCACACTGTTTTCCAAAGTGGTTGTACCATTTTACGTTCCCACTAGTATCGTAGGAGAGTTCCAGTTCCACATTCTTATCAGTACTTGGTATGGTCAGTCTTTTTAATTTTAGCCATTCTAATAGGTGTATAGTGTAATCTCTTTCTGGTTTTATTCTAGATTTCCCTGACTAATGATGTTGAACATATTTTTATGTCCTCATTAGCCATCATATACCTTTCTTTGGTGAAATGTCTGCTTAAACTTTTTGCCCACTTTATTATTATTGGGTTGTTTTTCTTATTATTGAGTTATAAGAGTTCTTTATATATTCTAGATACAAGTCTTTTGTCAGGTATATGCTTTGCAAGCATTTTCTACCAGTCTGTGGCTTGTCTCTTCATTCTCTTTACAATGTCTTTTCAAGAGCAGAAATTCTAAATTTTGATGAAGTTAAATTTATCAATCTGCTTTTCTATGGATTGTGCTTTTGGTGTCACATCTAAGATACCTTTATTTAACCCAAAGTCACAAAGATCTTGTTTTCTTTTAGAAATTGTATGGTTTTAGGTTTTATACTTATTTAGGTTTCTGATCCGTTTTGAGTAAATTTTTGTATGTAGTGTGAAATATGACTCCAAGTTCATTTTTGGGCTTGTGGATACTCAATTCTTCCAGCATAATTTTTTTTAAAGATTTTATTTATTTATTTATTTGAGAGAGACAGAGGGAGAGAGAGAGCACACAAGCAGGAGGGGCGGTGGAGGGAGAAGGAGAAGCAGGCTTCCCATTGAGCAAGGAGCCCGATGCGGGGCTCGATCCCAGGACCCTGGGATCATGACCTGAGCCGAAGGCAGACGCTTAACGACTGAGCCACCCAGGTGCCCCCCAACATCATTTGTTGAAAAGACTATCATTCTTTACTATTTTTTGTGCCTATATCAAATATCAGTAAATGTGTGGATTCAAGACTCTCTTTGCTGTTCTTTTGTTGTATTTTCTATCTTTACAGTTTTGGTTTGTGTTATTTTCTAACAATCTTTGAAAGCAGGTAGTTTAAGTTCTACAACTTTGTTTTTTCGGTGTTGTTTTAACTAGCCCAGTTTTTTTTTTGCATTCCCATATACATAGAATCATCTTGGTTTCCAGAAAAAAAACAAAAAGTCTGCTGGGATTTGGATTGGGATTGGATTAAATTCTGTAGAATAGGGGCGCCCTGGTGGCTCAGTCGGTTAAGTGGCTGCCTTCGGCTCAGGTCATGATCCCAGGGTCCTGGGATCGAGCCCCGCATCGGGCTCCCTGCTCGGTGGGAAGCCTGCTTCTCCCTCTCCCTCTGCCTGCCTCTCTGCCCACTTGTTCTCTCTCTCTATCTCTCTGTCAGATAAATAAATAAAAAAATCTTTAAAAAAATTCTGTAGAATAGTTTGGGGAGAATTGATATCTTAACAATATTGAGTCTTTTGACTCCTGAACACGGTCACTTTCTCTCATTTTGGTCTTTAATTTCTTTCAGCAATATTTTGTAGTTTTCAGTGTTCGGGTCTTTTATGTATTTTGTCAGATTTATTCCTAAGTATTGCATTTTTTGATACTATTTTGAGTGGCATTGTTTTAAAAATTTTAAATTTCTTTTATTATGATTATTATTATCATTATTATGTTCAGTTAGCCACTGTATAGTACATCATTAGTTACATTTCTGATTGTTCATTGCTAGTATATAGAAATACAGTTGATTTTTTAAAAGATTTTATTTATTTATTTGACAGAGAGAGACCATGAGAGAGGGAGCACAAGCAGGGGGAGTGGGAGAGGGAGAAGCAGGCTTCCTGCCGAGCAGGGAGCCCCATGTGGGGCTCGATCCCAGGACCCTGGGATCGTGACCTGAGCCGAAGGCAGACGCTTAATGACTGAGCCACCCAGGAGCCCCTACAATCGATTTTTGTATATTGAT